AGGGGGTGGGGGTGGGGGTGAGTGCGGGGCGGGGTGTGAGTGCGGGGCTGGGGCTGGGGCTGGGGCTGGGGTGAGTGCGGGGCTGGTGGGGGTGAGTGCGGGGCTGGGGGGACACGAGTGCGGGGCTGGGGCTAAGGCTGAAGGAAGGGGTGGTGAGTGCGAGGCCGGGCCTGCCCCTATCTCCCGGCGCCGCAGACTGTTTTACCTCGAACGCCCCCCATTCGTTATTCTTTCCTCCTCCCCCCGCCGCCATGTTGGATGGTTCGCGAAGCGGAAGCCACCGGACAGCTACGTGGACAGCAAGAAATCGCGATAGCTGGCCGCTTCCGGTGAGAAGGGCTGCAGGTCAAGGGGCGAAGGTCATCTTCCCTGTGTGTCATGGCGGCCGTACGGGGCGGGATCGATTTGATTCGGAATCGTGTCGTTCTGAAGGAATTTGGTGTCCAGAATGTGAGTGTTGGCGGGATGGTCGTTAATTGAATGGAGGTGAATCAGTGAGATTTGAAGTTGACAGCGTTTTTGGGTTTCTGTTCCAGGTTCATACCACTGATTTCCCAGGAAATTACCCCGGCTATGACGACTCCTGGAACCAGCAGCGGTTTGAGGAGGTACAAGGGAGCAGGGCACCGGGAGCAGCCGAACCGTGTCACAGTGAAAACACTCCGGCTGGAGAACTGCTGTTGCACTCATTCATTAGAGAAAATGTTCATTATTTGCGTTCCCATTCTTGCCACTCCTTCACAGCCTTTCTCATTTTATTTTGCATGTCGATCGAGTACTTCATTGAAGGTCTGACAGCTTAAGGCAATATGGAGTTAATGGTCATTAATAAAGAAATGGGGGGTGCACCGATTGCATGAGCAAACCTCCCTACAAATCTGAGATAACAAGGTGTAGAGCTGGATGAACACAGCAGGCCAAGCAGCATCAGAGGAGCAGGAAGGCTGACGTTTTCTGAAGGGTCTAGGCCCGAAATGTCAGCCTTCCCGCTCCTCTGATGCTG